TATGTCTACTTACTTTTAAATAAATTTCTTATAATTGTTTGGAATAAATTATTACCATGCTTTTATATTAATGTATATACAAGTAATTTATTATATTTTTATTTTATATAATCTAATAAAAATATATTTCATATTTGTTCCAAGGCTTATTATTTTTTTATTAAAATTTGTAAAAATATTTTATGATCATATATAGACTAAGGTAACCCGGTCGAAGCCCCGCCAAAGGAGGTCTAGGGGCCCCAGTAATTTTTAACCCCCCCTTTAGGAAAATTCGGGGTATGCCTATAAACAGTCCATAGATAATATGAGTTAAAGGAAGTCCCCATAGGGTACACCCACTGGGAGAAAAATACCGACTTTATATTTTACAAGCGATTCTTGCTTTTTCAAGCTTGGCCAACAGTGTCTACATGAGCGGGGGGGGGGGGTAGGAACAGTTTGCATAATATTTTTTTAAGGGGGTATGGGGTAAGCTGCTTTAATGGGGGTAGGAAATTATTTTGAGGGGTTATTTATTAAATTTTGAGATGAAATAGGACAAAATTTATTGCTGTAAAAATTAATACTTTTATTAGGGGGGTAGGCAAAGGTTTTTGAAGGGAGTTTGCATCCAGTAAAAATCCTGTCATATAGACGCTGTTGGCCAACATAAGGGGGATTGACATAAGCCTAAATGAGTGCTGAAGAAGGTTCTTCTGATGACCCGCCAGGGATCCATAAGTTTTTGGGATTACGTACAGCGGAAAGCATATTTGATTGCCCTCGGTTGGCTCAATCACTCCGACTGCCAAGAGTTGCTAGATGATTGGGCTGTAGTTTGCGTCCGACGGGTATGAATCCCCGCCTGGCGATCTGGAGATCTAAGGAGTGGGTATGCTAGGAGGTAAGATAAATATATTGTTGGGGGGGGAGGGTGTTATCAATTTAAATTTTAAGATGTAATAAGGCAATATATGTTTGCTGAATTTAATAATATACCATTATTATAGACCTATTATAATATATACATATATTGCATACAATTATCTATATTATAATTTTCCGATGTCCTCATTACGTCATCGTGACGTCATGTCATCGCTACGTCATATCATCGGTACGTCATGTCATCGGTACGTATTTTTATTTATTTTATTTGTTGAATTTATTTATATATTTTATACAAACAGAACAGATAAATAGAATTTCGAGAATTGTTGGTGTACACATACCTAACATGGATTGACAGATTTGAAAAATTGTCTTTGAATTGATAAAAACAATATTCCCTCAACTTTGTAAATATGAATGAAACACTTTATTTCACTTAATCCTTTCTTTATTTTTTAGATTATCTTATCAATTTTCATCTCATATTATCAATTACACATTAATGAAATCTCTGATAATCAACTTGTATTCATTATTTTTCAAATTAAAATTTATTTATGTATAATTTTCTGTTATTTTTAAATATAATTTAAAAGATTTCGACATTTTAACAGCAACTCATATTCATGCTAAATAATACACCATAATAATGCATTCAACATAATTGAGAGGAATTAATTTAATTCATATTCTAAAAAATAAATTTCTTCCCTCTCGCTATTTTTTTATAGTTTGTGGTAAAGTATTGATAACTTAAAATTTTTCATTTTGAAATATATGAAGGAGTTACCTTACCATTACAATTAAATTTTTTTAAAATTTTTTCTAGGGGAGTTAGTGTAGGCTCTTAAGGATATTTACTTTCAGTGAATATAACATTACACGGGTTAGAAAGGTACCGCTCTAAAGATCATTTTCACGGTAGAAACATATAATCATCACAGAGATCCAGTTTGGACAAAGATGTATCGAATCGTATTTTAAATTATGCACATGATTTTATGTTAGCGACAATATATTTTTTTTTCTAGGCAATACGTTATTTTTCAAACTTTAAATCATTTTTTGAAGCCACTTTTTTAAAATTTAAACCCGCTTAGAATGCCTATCTTATAAATTGTAGACAATTTTGCCTTTAACCTTTGAGAGTCATTTTTTAATTTATATAAAAATTAATGGGAAAACTTATATAAATTATATTAAGTCCAAATGTTCATCTTCATGGCATGATTGTCTGATATTTATTAGGGTAGGTATCCCCTAAATGATGGAATACGTTTCCGCTAAAATCGGACAGATCTATAAAAACTAAAAAAAAATGATAGGCTCAAAAAATGATTTAAAGTAACTCATTGCTGATTTTAAAAAAAACATATTGAGGCAAAATTATGGGTTAACTTTAATCTCGAATTCATGGCGGAGCGATCGCGATTTAACAGCTGATCGATTTTTTAAAATCTGTTTTTATGAGATCAATTTTAATTTTTTTAATAATAATTTTATCTTCAAAATTAATCCATATAATAAATCTAAGAAATAGTGATTTTAATAAAGAAAAAACCAGATTTTAAAAAAAACTGTCAGCTGTTAAATCGTTATCGCCATCGCACCACTATGAATTCAAGGTAAATCGTATTTCATTCTTCTTTATATACATCATGAAATACGATTAAAATTATTTATAACGGCAAATATAGGTTCCTTTATAAAAAAAATAATAATTACCAAGCCTTCATCAACACTTGTTCAAGGTTTTTGATTTTAAACCGAACCATAAACCTTTACAAAATTTAATTTCTTAACATGACCTTACCCTGAAACCTTCCTATATTTTTTTTTCTTTCTGAAACCAAAATCGAACCTTTTTAAACTCGGTTTTTTCAACTTCCTTTTCGGTTTAGAAAACCCTCAGCTGGAGTACTATATATATATGATACTAAGAACAGTTTCATGATTAATCAACATAAAATAAGACTTCATCACATTATTCTCTCTGTATAAGAAAATTTATATCGAAAAATAATAGTTATTAATTAAAAAAATACAGTTTTTATCGATCTAATTTAGGTTAAACTTTGATCCTTATTTATATTTAGAATGTCTCTAATCGTAGTATATACATACTATAAACCAGAGACCTGCAGGCCCGGCCTGGTCCTAAGCCGGACTTGGGTACATGGACCGAATATACACGGTTTTTAAATACCCGAGCCGGGCCAGGCCTTATATTTTAAAATCGAATATTTTAAATCGCCATTCGTTCGTTAAAAATAATCCGAGCCGAACTGGTCCGCGCCAATGGTACCGCTAAAATCCTCTGACTTCCCTTCACAAATTTTTTAATCTTTTACAGAAACGTCTTCTTCTTCTTTTTTAAAATATAAAACCTTCTCTGTGCTGACAATTTTTTTTTAGTCAATATCAATGACGTATAATAATAGCTAGACTGACGATGAATTCATAATAATGCAGTTGGAAGCGTCGATGAATGCAAATCAGCTGGACCCGCCATATTCTCGTGTTAAAAATTATTTCTATTAAATTGGTTAACTTGCTTCCTTTGTTATCTGGATGATCAGGCTATTCTTTGATAAAGTTCGCGTCAGACATAGGACACTAAATTGGCCTCTCGTTCAAAATTTTTTAATAATGATAATGATGGGTAATCATAATGGCGTCCCCAGCTGTTTTCATTGATGTATATACACTATTATCGTCAATCTAGGTATTATTATTTATGTCATTGGTCAAGATATAATTTTCCTAGAATTTAGAGCCTTGCAATAATAAACAATATATATATTTTTAGTTTCTTTAAATTATAGAGATTTCTAAAAAAAAAATTGGCAAAAATACTAACTTAAAAGTCACAAATTAACTTCCCAAGACTAATTTAATTTTCGTAAAAAAATTTTTTAAGATGCAACCATCCTATGAAAGAATAAAAATTTATCATAAATGAGGAAGGACCTTATAAATGTCGTTGGCTTTTTGTCTTACATATTATTTAATATTTTTTTTTTAAAGTTTAAATGAAATGAAATGAAAATTTTATGTATATTTTTTTAATTTTCCTTTTCCATGTAATATAAATTTTTTATCATAAAAAAAATGAAAAACGCGTTTAAAAAAAAATATTAGGTTAAAATTTAATTTAACAATAGATTATATAAAATTCATTTTTATAATTCAGAGTTTGTCCAGAGAATGTAGGGAGCTTTAGGAAATTCGTCAGAATCCTTATTTGAGTTGAATAAGCTCTCCGATAAGATTTCAACTCTCTATTGTAAAACCTATTAAAGGGAATTCATGTGGTTTCTTCGCTGGCAATCCAATTTAAACTTCTCTCTCTCTTATTTAAAGAGACTAAATTTAAGGCTTATTTTGAAAGTATGTCTAAGATAAATTCCTGATAAAGAGGAAAAAGATAAATCTCGACACTAAGGGTTTCTAAAAGAGATCATGAAATATCTAAAAGATAAAGGCCTGGAAAACTTTAAATAGGTAGGAAACATTAGAATCCGTTCCAAACCTAAAGATTACGAATACTAACCTAGACTGACTTCCATTTCCTAAAGTATATCATATTATACGAACATTGAAGTCCAGAGGGCAGAAAATAAACATTTCAATGACACGTAGACGAAATGTATTTCAAATGCAATTCTATGGAGCCCAACCACAGCCCCGAAATGCCATCGACTAACAGCTGATTTTGATGTTTATAAAAAAAAATTTTTAATTAATAAATGTGCCAGTTAGGTTTAGAAGAAATTTAAATATCATCAGTTTTTACGAATTTATTTTAAATCCTCTCAATCGCATTATTACAAAATGGTAATTTAAATAAGCTTTTAACCCCCTTAATTTTTACCGCAAATTAGCGTTAATTGTTAAATAATCAAAAGATAAATCATCCTACTCATTGTTAATATAAAAAATATTATTTTAAATATACATGTGATGATTATAATATTCAATTTAATTTTCCCTCTTTTGAAGGTCAAATAATTGGCCAAATAAAATAAAAATACTTATTATATATGTATATTAAAATCAATCTTGTTAAATGTTTTTAATTTTGTTTTTGTAAAATTTATTTATATTTTTTTTTTGAAATTTCATTTTTGAAAAGATATCTTTTATAAAACATAAAATAAATTTTAAAAAAATAGAAAAATTAACATAAATATTTTTAATTTGGCATCAATTGGCTAACATTTTTACGGGGAAAAAATTTATTTCAGAAATATATAAAACAATTTGACTTTGTATGACTTTCTTGGAATTTTAAGGCACACAAGATATGGCAGTAAATTCCTTAAATTAACACCTTAAATTTTTATTTATAATTACAAAATTTTAAAAAATTATTCATATCGGATATATTATTCGTCAGTTGGTATTAAATTTGTGGAATATTATTTTAAAACTATCAAAATTTTTAATAAAATGTTAGATCATAATTTTTACGAAATAATTCTTATATTCACTTATATTTTGACAGGAAAAAATGATGGGCAGAATAAACGACGTGGCTCAGACAGGTACAATGAATCCGTATAACAATTATTCGTCGAATTTCTACGAGGATGCCAATGCGGAGATGCTCAAAGCTTCCAAAATCGTACCAACAAATTCGTGTTCAACAGCTGGTGAAAGTAGCGAAAATTTAGCGGGCCAGTTATGGGGCGATACCGTGACCGGTCAAACCTTTTACGGATCGATGCTGGATGAGAGATTCAAGAGCTACGTAGATGGATTAATCGAACCCCTCTACTGGAATGGGATACTATACCCCGGGTTGATATTCAAACCTCAGGTGTTTGCCGATTTACAAAATTACCAATTTCAACCCGAAGATATTATTATCGCGACGTATCCCAAATCTGGTTTATAATTTTTATATCAGTTAGCCAATATATTTATCGTTTATATATGTATCATCAAGGAAAGTAGGCATAGCCAGAGGATTTTGCTAGAAAAGAGGGGAATGGACGCTATAAGATTTTTGTTTTTTCTTCATAAATTATATTGGAGGCTTTTAGGGCTACCCTTTCTACAGGCCTATGGCTGATTATATATTTTTATGTTTATAAGTGACATATTGTATGTTATTTTGGAGCGAGGTAAATTTCCAAAGAGGGGGTGAGGAGGGGGGTGGGAAGGCCCTTCCTCGTAGCTTTTTCCTTATGTAAAAATCAATTTTAAATTTTATCGTAAAAAATGAAAGGTACAACGTGGACAGCGGAAATCGTGTCGCTATTGATGCATCCTGACGATGAGTCTTACGCGAAAAATCTAGATATATCCCAAAGAGTCATACATTTCGAAGCACCGCCGGAGCGAAATGTCAAAAATTTGGATTCGATACCTAAACCTAGAATATTCCAAACTCATCTTCAACACCCTTACTTACCACCTTCCATCATAAGATCGCAATGCAAGGTTTTCGATATATTATCAATCATAATTATAATAAACAATGGATCGAAATTCCCATTTTAATTTCGATTGGCTTGGCCTTCATGGCCATAAAAATAATTTTTTTTTTTAGAGATAAAAGAGAAGCATAGTTGTCCATTTAAGATGCGATTATTTTTTAAAATTATAATCAGTCCAATATAAAATCCCTTTGATATTAACCGAAAAATAACGGCCGTTATTAAGATTGGTTTCCAAAAAAAATATATAACAATTTGAAATTTTATATTGAAAGGAACCTGATGTTTATATTGCAAATTTTAAAAGAAATTAGACATGTCTAACCCCCTCCTACTCCATATTTCTGGTGCTGATAAATTCAAGTTAGATCCATACCTTTTTAAAGACAAACTTATATTATCCTTTATATTTAATAATATAGTTTTCTTTTCTCTATTCTAAAAATCCTCTCCTACTAGCAATAACCTATAGTATCTTTAGCAGTTCCCATATAGAGTAATCAAGATTTTCTAAGTTACATTTCCAAAAATATTCGGGCCCGGCCCGGATTTTATATTTTCGGACTCGGCTCGGGCCGTATTTTTATTTTTATCTATTTTTAATTTTTATAGCTAATAATGGCGATTTAAAAGGTTTGGTATCTGATATATATATACATACACTTTTGTTATATATATATATATATAATATGTTTTAATTTGTTTTTTTTGTCTAGTTCAATATGTTATTATTTTTTCCCCAATCTTAAAATCATTTAATAGTTTTGTTAAATTACCTAACTTTAGTCAACTATAAAACAGCCCTAACTATGTATTCGTACAAAAATATTCGGATCGATCTTCAAGCTGAGACTCAACTTAGAATCTTAATTCAGATTTTTTAGGCTAAAAGCTTGACTAAATCACAATAGAGATGGTTAAAGTTACGTAATTTAACAATACTTTCATTTACTATATGCGATTTTATAGAAAAATTATGTATTTGAAACCTTTTTTTTAACCTTATTATAACCACTTTTATTAATTTTTCTCTGGATTTTTTTTTATATATAAATTATATATACTAAATTATTATTCGAAAAATTTTCTGAAATTAAGTAGGGTTTGGCATATCCAAACATTCTTGAATACATTTTTTGATAAAATGAGATATGACGCTGACTTATATATACATATAAATATTTATTTAAGATCATTTATGTCCTGAGAAATCCTAAAGACGTGGCAGTATCATTCTTTCACCATCATAGAATGGCACTTGAAGTGGGATATTTCAACAAAGATTTCAAACATTTTTTGAGTTTATTCTTAGAAGGAAAAAGTTTATCCTTTTTTATTTATTTTTATAAGTATTTTAATACAATTAATTATCATTAAAACCTAAAATTAGCATTTGAAGAAGCCTTCCGGGAATATTTATTATTAAATGTTTCTGGGAAATTTTATTATTTAGAATATTTTTTGATCAATCTAAATCGCAACTTGAAATAAATATGCCCTCATTAACTTCCTTCACGAAATTCATAATAACCTTAAGAACATATGAGGGAAAATTATATATATATATACATCTAATATTTATGGCTATACAAATTATGATGAAACTATTTTGTAGTAATCCTGGGGTCCTGGTTTGATCACGTGAAGTCTTATTGGAAAAGGAAAGACGATACTAACCTACTAATCGTACGCTACGAAGACATGATAAATGTATAACTTTACACATACATAAATTACTCATTTTACAAATAAAACTGTGTTTTTTTTTAAATTGTAAAATAAAACAAATAAAAAAACATGCTAAAAAATTATAAATTTATAAACATAATTTTTTTTTTTATTTGAAACAAAATGAAGCGAAGTTATAAAATTAGTTGTTAGTAATTTAATTTTAGTTTTTTTTTAAAAAAACAGAAAAAAAACAAGGCCTTTATTTTCCTCAAGAATAAAAAACAGTTTTTTTTCCTCCTCAAGAATAAAAAACAGTTTTTTTCCTCATCAAGAATAAAAAAAACAGTTTTTTTCCTAATCAAGAATAAAAAAAACAGTTTTTTTCCTCATCAAGAATAAAAAACTGTTTTTTCCCCTCAAGAATAAAAAAACAGTTTGTTTGTTTTCAATCATACCTAATAATTGATAATTAAATATAATATTTTATTATAGAATTTAAACGAAGTTATAATGACGATCAGTAAATTTTTGGGAGTGTCATTAAGCCGATCTCAAATCGCGAACGTAAGCAACGCGTGCACATTCGAAAAAATGAAGGACAACGAAAGAGTGAACAGGAATTGGGTCCCACTGTTTGACCAAACCAAGAGTAAATTCATAAGAAAAGGTAATTTATATTGATCATTAAAAAAAAACCCATTATTTTACCAATTATTTAATTTTTTTAAAGGGATCATTGGGGATTGGAAAAACCATTTCAGCCAAGAAGACAATAATATTTTTGATACGATATACAAGTCGAAAATGGACGAAATCTCGGATTTAGATTTTATCTACGAATAAATTCGTTTATATAATACAAAAATTTCAAAAAAATCGTAATATAATGGTTAGAGGGTTCAAAGGGTTTTTGGGTGGCCAAACCCACCCTCAAATTTAAGTTGTTTATAGGCGTGTAATCTCTCTTTTCAATTAAAAACGTATAAAGTAGCTTTATACAATATAATTGGAAATACAATTAAGATAAGGCAAATATTTCCTTAACTAAAACTATATACTAATAATTGATATGATGACATCTAATTTAAACTCTACCGGTTTGATTACTTATTAGTCTCAAGAGTCAGGTGTTGTTATAGGCCGCGTTCATAGTGGTATCCGATCCGAAACGTTTTAACAGCTGATCGATTTTTGGTTTATGCAGAATATATATTTCCTATTGTAGATGAAATTAATATTATTTTTAAAAAAAAATAGATCTCATAAACAGATTTTTAAAAAATCAATCAGCTGTTAAATCGTGTCGGATAGGATCCCACTATGAATGCGTCCTATAAAAGCCCGATTCTGTTTTTTTAAAAACGGTTCGATTAATAATTTTAGCCTAAATAGTATTTCGTACGTCTCGAGATTTGGCAAGTAGAAACCCTAACCTTTCTGCCATCCTACGAGCAAAATCATCGGGTTTTTATATTCGGTTATAATCTTTTTCGGGCCGGTTTAAAAAAACCGACCCGAATCGGTCTTTTTAGCAACACTACTCGAGAGTGCTGGTTTAGAAAGTAATTTTTAATCAAAATATCAAATAGTAGACAAAGTTCTTTCCCTGTCCCCGCCATCTCTCGTGCACGGGTAAATAATATATGACGTTAGTTCTAAGGTGCTAAACAATGACCAAAATGTTTAAAATGAATATACAGTAACGGAATCACGTGGTTGAATTTTATCTAATTACAACCCCCCACCCCAACCCTAAAGACGATCGGTACCACCTTAGATGGCTTTAGAAAAAAAAATATATGATCCTTGCTAGATTCGAACCCAAAGCTATGAGATCATGATTTACGCATTGAACCGACCAGGCCACAGAACCCTACTAAGAGAGCCTCAAATTTTTTTTTTTTGTATAATAAAATATTTTTAATATAAAAATACATAAAAAATCGAAAACGTTTAACGCTAATACATCATTACTCCACACACACACTCACTCACAAACAGGTAGAAAGATAAATTGTTTATGGGCCCCTAACAAAATAAAAACAATTAGAAAGATAAATGAGTGTGATGAATTAATTCATCATCTCTAAGAGTATTTGTTATTTGTAAAATAAGGGAGATCCATCTTATTGCTTATAAAGATAAAAATATATAATTAGTAAGCATTATTATTATATTTAATATACTGGAGATTGGAAAAATGGCCTTTAAAATAATGTAATCTTATTAAGCCATATAAAAAAAAAATAATACTTTCGTGTATAAAGTGTATTTCGTTAAACTATCTTTAAGCAAAGTTGAAACATGTTTAGAAATTTGGATATACCCTGTTAAAAAAAATTGTGCATCACTCGGTCAATCAAAAGTAATCTTTGGGAAGTTAGTTATTTTTTTCAGTGGATGATTATGGGAGGAAAATTATCACGTGTCTGGAGAAGCTTTGTCTTCAGACGTGATGATTTTTGGGTGTAATTTTTATTGATGATTTGATATATATATATATTGATGATAATAAAGTACTTAATATAACAAAAGTTCAACTTATTTTACTACTCAGTAAAAAATGTCTTGAAATGAGAGATCTATAAGTGCATCAATTTTGTTCAAAATAAATATTTTTACATTTTTGAAAGTGGTTACGACTAAGATCCTAAGAAAAAGGAATCATATTAATATTTTATAATTTGGGAAAACACGAACAAATTTATTTGTGTTTCTCTTCATAAAAGAAACATTTAAAATACATTATTTGAAATAGAACGTAAAAAGCATTAAATTATAAAACATCATGAAAGCATTAATTTACTAATCAAAAAATAATAAAATTTTGGGTATAAATGAAGGAAATATATAATATTCATTATAGATAGAGATTAAAAAAGAAAGAAAGAAAGAAAAATTGCTAAAACAAAATACAAATACAAATACAAATTTAAAAGATTAAAAATAAAAATAAAACGGAAAACGTTGAAGTGGGAATAAAATTTAGATTTTCATGTAAAAGTTTTTCCTCGGAATAATAATGATTATAAAAAAAAACTATAATAAGAATGATGGGATACAATAGCTATATTTATAAAAATATACGTTTCGATTGTTATATCCTCCAGGAATATATTATAAAAGGTATTAAGAAAAATAAAAATTTATATAATAAAGTTAGGATTTTTTTTATTAGCCTAAACCAAATAGAAAACGTATTTTATCCATTGGTTGTTCATCCCCCCTCTTTTGCCTTCTAGAACTTCTGTACCTTCCATAATAAACAGCTGGATATTTATTTACCGGGTCCTTTTTGCCCCATGAGGCTAAATTAGATTCGTGGGCTATATGATAATTTTATATTGTAATAAAAAATCAAAATATTTTCATGTATGTTTATAGATATTAGGCTAAGCAACCTTCAAAGATTCTTTATTTTAACTTAGGACAGCTTTGAAAATTAATAATATGATTGTTTTTGAAAAAGCCAAGAGGCTTTGTATAGGTACGGTAAAATATTTTTTTCTAATGATATGGTAACCACTTTGATAAATAAAATAAAATTGTTGCTCATTTAATTTAATTATATACAAAAAAAACGGCTAACTCATTAAAGTGTAAACAGAACACTAAGCCACCCCTTTAGACTTTTAGAAACTCTAATTGAGTAGTATAATATATTAGACTTGGTTAGGGTAATTAAATTTCTGATATGATGATGATTAATGAGAGTAATAGTTAGGTCCGGTTTAGTCCTACCCTTTTCTATATGAAGATTATAATACTTATATACAAAAATTTTGTTTTCGTTTTATACAACGTTTAACGATGCCAGCGTTGGAGAAGCAAATCGAAATGGACATTATAAAAATCGCCAGAAGGAAACGTAGAAATAAGGGAGAATTATTTGAGATGGGCATCTTTTCATTTTTTGTATTTAAGGGGGCCTCCTAGGTTTTCTTCTCATGAATTATTGTAATATTTATTAAAGATATATATAGTATAATTTATGAATCGAATTCATCTTCCAAATCCCCCCCCCCCCCGAATAAAAGATAATAAATCATTGATCATTATTATATTTAATTCGTCCAAAATTTGACAAAATTAGTTTCCCAAAATCTATGAGCTAAAAGAGATATAAAAAGACTTTCTGAAAGTTTAAAAAAAAAAGTTATAAATTTGTGCAAGTTTTTGTTAACAAGTTTAAGATGCAATAGTGGCGGAATCACTGGAAAACCGCTATTGTGAGCTCCAGCCTGGACAAAAGCTTTTAAGAAACCTTCTCATTTAAATTTAAAAAAAATACGCATTTTATTTTATATTTTGGGAACCATTTTAGCCCCTGGCAAACTGAACCTAATTAAGGAATTCGTGTACTTTAAAAATAAAATAATATTCGTAAAACTAAGGGCCTCATTTAGAGTAAACGCGTTATCTTCAAGCGTTTGCGTTATTTAACTCAGCGTTATGACAGCTGATTAAGCTTTTATAAAAAAAAAACTAATTAAAGATAAAAATAGAAATTAATTATTTTCTACAATATTTAAGAAAATCTCTTATTGTCGAATTCCTTATTATCTTTATAATCAAATCGCGTATTTCTTTATCAACCTCAATCGCAACATATGTTTTTCAAATTTTATCGTAGCGTTATCATCATAACGCTTCGTATTTATAAATTTACGCCCGCCTATATATTGGCCTAATTTTGTACGCTTGGATTTATAAAAAATATTAGCCAATTCGATAGAAAGGGTTTATGATTTTTTCTTATTAAATATTGTATAAAATAATTATCTCCATTTTAGCTTTTATCTCTAAATTAGTTTTTAAATACTGAATCAGCTGTAACACCGCTGCTTTGAATCAAATTCTCGAGGATAACACATTTTACTATGAATGCAGTGTTAGGGTTCATAGAATTTTTAAAAATAAATTTTAGACAGTTTTATCAGATATTTCCCATATTGCCCGATTGGGAACTTTGCCAGTTTAAAAGATTAATCAGCTGTCATAGCGCTGCAAAGCTTGAAGATAAAAAAAAAATTCCTAGCCAATTTATATTATCGAAATTCATAAACAGATGTTCTATTGAGTACTTTTTTTTATCTTCTTCGAATAATGGTGTTATCAGAGGGCAAATCTAGATTAAATTTTGATTTCAGATTGAAATACTTAAAAATAAATCTTACTTTTGATGAACGTGACGACAAATAAATAAAAATAATATCCATAAGAATAAATCAAATCATCCTTGGGGTTGGTGTGACCTTTTTAAGAGTTTTTGGGAACTAAAAATAAATATTTTTAAAATTATTTCAAATGAAAAATAAATTAGAATGTTCTTTAGGTAGCGTTTATTAGGTTTAGTGTTAGTTATTGTCAAAGTCAGCATATATCAATTTTTCTAAAATAATAATAATAAACTTAGCTTTACTTAAAATCGATTAATTAATTTTTTGAAATGCAAATAAAATCCATTTTTTTCCATGTATTTTAAGAGATGGAATCAGGCCATAGCTACCCGGAAACCATCAAAATGGGATTCCAAGAAAAAAATTGGTACTTCCTGGATTCGAACCCGTTACCATCGGATTGGCTATACACGCATTTACCGACTAGGCCCCCCTAAGCTTTCGAAAATGGCAATTTTTAAAAATATATATATATATATAACTAGTGTTGTTAGAAGTTAAGTTACAAGTTATATCTCTAAAATAACTATTTACGTTATAAGTAAACTTTATAAACAATTTTTTTATTTTATATAAAATAATTTAGAATTTACAAACTTTAATCAAATTTACTTGGAAAAACAAATCTACAAATTTATAACATATATATATATATATGATAATTACAATGAATAAAATACCAGAGAATAGAATGCAATCTAAAA